CGTGGCTGATTCCAGGAGAGATCAGGTTCAGGTTCATTCTTGGGTGTGAAGAAATGAGCCGGTGCCCATGAACAGATGAAGCATTGTGGAGAGAACAGCTGCTCGGGCCATCTCTCTTTCTCTCTCCGGCTCTCTTTTCTCTTCATCTGTCCAAACCCCCCTCTCTTCCTCTCGTTCAGCTCTCACGTCTAGACTTATGGCCTTTACTTTGGCTCTACCGCTGCTTGTCCTGTTTCAAATTCAGATCTCTATCCAATAAATATGCTGACCTTGAACACAAACCATCTTAAAAACGCAGCGCTATTGGAGAATATTTATGCTTGCTCATGGCTAAAGATTTGTTAAGAAATATTTAGATTAGTTATAAAACTGAAATCGCAATCATGCAATTATCAAATCTCAAAGGCTGCAATTTCTTTAAATAAATATATGCCCTGCATGTTCTTTTGGATATTATAATCTGCTTAAGGTAATTCAACATATGGCAACCATCTTCGCAAACTTGTAGACAGAAATGCTTATAAGACAACTGGGCTTCCTGCGTGTTTTAACGTATAAAAATGTAAAAAAAAAATAATAATATTAATAAATAAGACAGTCATAAATATTAGTATTGCATATTTAAATTATTAATTTAATATTATTTTTTATTAATTGTTATTTTATTAATATTATTACTATTTTATTTATGAATAATAATAGGTTTTTTTTTTAATAGCAATTTTTTTATTTTACTAGTAATAATAACAATTATTATATAATTATAATTATTATATAATAGTTATTATAGTTGATAAATAATTTTTTGCCAAATTGTGCAAATCACAAAAATTGCAATCACAATTTTTATCCGAAAAATTATAATTAGATTTTTCACCAGTGAAATATTGCAATAGTAATATATCTTGGTTTGTTCAATAATTTTACTAGTAATAATAACAATTATTATATAATTATAATTATTATATAATAGTTATTATAGTTGATAAATAATTTTTTGCCAAATTGTGCAAATCACAAAAATTGCAATCACAATTTTTATCCGAAAAATTATAATTAGATTTTTCACCAGTGAAATATTGCAATAGTAATATATCTTGGTTTGTTCAATAATTTTACTAGTAATAATAACAATTATTATATAATTATAATTATTATATAATAGTTATTATAGTTGATAAATAATTTTTTGCCAAATTGTGCAAATCACAAAAATTGCAATCACAATTTTTATCAGAAAAATTGCAATTTGATTTCCCCCCCAAATCACACAGTTCTACTTCGAACCCTATTAAACTTTGCTTCTTCTTTTTTTTGCGCTACAGACATGAATGTTACCTTAAAACATTTAGCTTGTTGAGTACACCTGTGCAGTTACTTTTCTAAGCGATCAGATGTACGATTTTGAACTAGACAACATGCTGAATAGACTTTATTTACGCTTGTCCCAGCCTTTTTTTGTTAGCGTCAAATTACATACAGCAGTATTTCCAGTACAGCTTAATGAGAATCCATATTTATGAGCTCAATTTGCACTAAATTCACATAAGTTGCTGTAAAACTGCCTTATAAGAAGGAAGACAGATTCTAAGGCAGCATTTCAAGACTCCTTTGAGTTTAGCAAGCTAACAAGGGATGAATAAAAACACGCTGGTTCTGAATCCAGAGGAAGTGGATTTGAGACAGACACTCACAAGAGAGAGGAGAGATTAAGGACAGTATTTAAACACACACACACACACGTACGTCGAGTTATCCAAGCCTTACAATGTTGTGTGAGGCAAATTTTGAATGGAAAGAGAGGGACAAAGTGAGAGATGCAGAGAGAGAGGCAGGCTGTGCTGGCGGAAGGTGCTGCTGCTATCCACATGGAATGCTAATGCTCCAGTCGGTGGGTGAGAGCCTATTTTGAGAGCAGGCCTGGTGTGTACCAGTGTGAGTCGCTCTCCTTACACATACAGGATATGGATCACATACAGTACAGTCTGCAGGCCATTCTAATCACATATCACATAAAAAAATTAAAAAAAACTTTTTTTTTTTTTAGTTTTTGTTGAACTATGGAAGCGCTGAATTCTCTTATCAATAGTATTTGATGCACTTTGTTTATTCTTCAATGTTTTTAGAAGTGAATTGATGTAGTGATTACGTTTTGATGTCATCGGGAACAAAGCCGCACATGCATCTGTTTCGCCGTTATAAGAGTTGCCATAGAAATGAATAATTTCAGAGTCTGGGGATGTGAAAGGCTCAGAGTCTCAGAGTTGTCATCTCATAATTACAGTAATTCTGACACAACATGAATGGAGCCGTTTCAAGACAACATTAAATTGCATTTGCATTTAACTTCTATAATGTGTTGTATTCATCAGGATTTGATTAGATTGTGAATCTTTGGCAAAGATTTGTTGATTTTATTTTTTACTGCCCCCATGACGATGATAATGTTGATTGTATCAGTTTTTTTCTATCAGTATTTTCTATCCATATTTTTATTTATTTGATGATTTTGATTTACTTGATTAAAAAAACTGTATTTTTGTGAAATATTATTGAAATTTAAAATGACTGATTTCTATTTTAATATATTTTAAATCTAATTTATTCCATGGCAAAGCTCAATTTTCAGGAGCCAGAAATCATTCTAATATTCTGAATTCTTATTATTATCGATGTTGAAAACAGCTGTGCTTCTTAATATTTCTGAGAAAACTGATATATTTTTTTAGGTACAATCCATCCATCCATCCATCCATCCATCCATCCGTCTGTCGACAACCCACTCTAATCCATATTTCTACACACATTTCTCTATGCTGACAGCCAACTGACCCATGTGGATTTGCAAAACAAAAGTTCCTCTTCACATTTATTTTATCATCCACCCTTATCTTGCAAGTTATTCTCTTCCAGCAGAGCTTGTTCTGAACACAGATGTTCAGATGTTCCTCCCTCTCACCGCTCTGACACGAGCCACGGTTCCTGCCTGCTCTTGTGCATGGCCCCACACGTGTGACTAAATGTGTTCATCGGAAATGTAGGTGTAATTTTTAGATTCTTTAAGCATGTCTCCTGATTCACGAAACATTCAGGGCATTCCTCACTCTCGATTGTTTTTCTAAATCGGCAAACCCCATCTCACCCTGATTTGGGTGAGGGAGAGAAAATATCACTCTGGAATTTTAATTTCCTGCAAGAGTGCAGCCACATGAATGTTCCATATTTTCCACTGTAGCCGATGTTATCGCATCAACATAAGAGCACAAAAAAATTCAAAATCTGTCGAAATCCGTGTTCGCCTGTGCGTACCCCTCCCCGGGGACATTTTGGTGAAAAACAAAACATGCTTATCTTTTCAAGAGCATAATGTGCAGGTATGGTGCCTCTATGAGTAGCTGGAAATATTGCAGGTTTTCTTGTTACATACAGGTTCTCGTTTGCTGAAAGCAGATCTGAATTGGTGTAAAACAAGATTTTGCAAATCTTGATGACAGGGCCTGCCTGGATTTCAAACTAGGGTCTGGGATCTGTGGTATCTATTAAGTAAAAAAAAAATTAAAAATTGTAAAATCTTTTTTAGGGATGTCAATTAACGTGTTAACATACTGTAATAGTTTTATTTATTTTTAAATACAAATTTAAAAATAAAAAATATAGTGCCCCACTGAATTGTAACATATGTGCGTCTGATAAAAGTCCAATATAAACTTGAAAAAATTAACAAATGCTACGCTATTAAAACTTGCATAATCACAAAATTGTATTTTTTTAAAGCAATGTTTCGTTCAGTTGAACTTCCTCAGGCATAAATGTTTTAAATTAAATTAAATTAAATATAATTTAAATGTTAAGTATTTATAATGCTTATATTACAGTTATTTATTACATTTAAATATTCAATTATTTAACATATTTACAGAATTTGAGTCAGCAATTCTAAAGTTAGAAATCATGACAAAACATTTATTGTAAAAAGTGCATTACAAAATTAAAAATGTTATTAAATATTTAATCTAACAATATTAAAAAGCAAATATTTTATATAATACTATACTTAAACATAAATCATATAATTCATATAATATTTTAATAATTTGCTTTAATACAATGACAATACAAAAGACTGTTAATTTGGGAAACATCTGTATAATGTCAAACTTAATATTTTATTTATTTTTATTAAATACAATACATAATATATTATTCATTTATTGAATTTATTAATATTTTATTTATTTTATTATTTTATTCAAATCACAAAAACACACATTTTTCACAAATGTCTTTACAAATGTCTATTTCAGGAAGGGAGATCATAATATTTGGGGGTCTTTGGCATTAAAAATTTTAAAAATAAAGCAATAATAATAATGACACTAAACTCTGGATGTTTAAATCTAATTTGTGAATGGTCATCAGTGGAAAAATATGCTTCTTGATGGCAGAATGTAATTGTGGCATTGACTAGCACAGGCTAATATAGGTCCATGTTAGCTAAACCTTGACTTGTTGGTTTGAACCTAACCTTTTTGGTTCATCTTAAACCACCTCACCATGATGTCCATAGCAGCAGGAAAGAAGCTACACAGCTTCATCTGTTCACAATTTTGATGCTAAAGTGCAGCTGCAGTTGTAAACAAATGGTTTTCTCGCTCTGTTCTGTGCATTTCACCTTTATCATCCCAGACAATCTCTCTTTCTCTCAGCCTAGAACGAGACCAGGAGATTGTTCCTGCTGTGAGGTCTAACTGCTCTCCTTCACACACACACACACACAGTTCCACAGCCCAGCCGTAATGTTCTGTGTCTGTTTCTGAAACCAAGCAGGGCGATACGAGTGAAAGAGAAGGTAAGAATTTCAAAAAATAGCCAGAAAATCGCATTTTTGTGTGTAGTTTGTCCCCCTAACCCAGACTAAACATCTTATGAGCTATGTCCCCCTTATTATACTCCCAGAATCCCCGTCACTTACTGCTTTACACACTGGCTGACCTACTTACAGCTGAACTCCCTGACAAGACAGCGAGACGGAGAAGAGGTAGAGAGGATGTCCACAATCAGAGAGTGGAAGTGTCGGCTCACGTGAGACTTCAGAGAGCTGTAATCCCTCAACAAAACAAACACAACAACTGTGCCCGGCAACGGATCGCCACCTCCCCGGCAACTGGCAGAGTGTTGTCTCCTGTTGACTGTGTGCTTTGTGAGTGTTTGTGAGTGTATGCAAGTAGGCCTATTATAGGATAGATGTCAGAAATGGCAACAATTTGAAATGTGGTGAATGAGCGAGACATGATAAAAGGCTACCTGTAATAGCAGGATGGCAAGTGTAGAAAATATAGAACTAGGAATGAGTGCAGGGGAAATGGAGGATGAGAGGCCAGTTAGATTTAAAAGAGACAATATAGAAGTATGGAGGCCTTTTTTCTGCCTTGGAGTAAAAATAAATAAAACTGCAACTGTATTTTTTGTAATTGTGACTTAATGTCTCACGAATGTTATTTTATATTGTAGAATATGACTTTGTATCTCACAATTGCTTTTTGTTTTTTAATCACAGCTATATATTTTAAAATGTGTAATAAAATGTATTTTCTCACAGTATTTTTATATCTCAAAATGTGACTTAATATTTCTTATTTCTGACAAGTATTTTATATCTTAAAATCTCACTTTGATCTTTTATGTCAAAATCTGACTTTATATCTGTCAGTTGTGACTTTGTCATCTCATAATTACAACTTTCTCACAATTGTGACTTTTTATATCACAACTACATATTTTATATTTTACATGTGATTTTATATCTCACAATTGCAACTTTATATCTCACAATATTTTATATCTCAGAAATGTGACTTAAAGGAGACATATTATGCCCCTTTTTACAATATGTAATATAAGTCTCTGGTGTCCCCATAATGTGTCTGTGAAGCTTCAGCTCAAAATACTCCACAGATCATTTATTATATCATTTTGAAAATGCCTATTTTGAGTGGAAGCAGAAACATGCTGTTTTTCGGGCCTGTGTCTTTAAATGCAAATGAGCTGCTGCTCCCCACCCCCTTTTCCAGAATAGAGCTGTGCCATTACAGCTCATACCTGCTAAGAACATCTGTTTTG